TTTCTCAGTCGCCGAAGAAGAGCTCTACATACACATAATGTAATTGCTCTCTACTCCCACCTCTCAATCGCCACTCATAATTGCTGCTTTTGAAGAAAAGTGGCAGCGCTGAAGCGGTAATTTTGTTTTGTCTCGTTTGAAGGGCACTTTAGCCAGAGCTGTATTGTTAGAACGCAAACGCGTCACATGAACAAACCTTTTGATGTACACTGAGAAATGTAAAAATGCAGATGCGAAGGGATTGCTAAAAAGCAGGCTAAGTTTGACAACCATTTTTTGAGCATGAGTACAATTTGAGTACTAATCACGGACTTCAGCTTGCCTGAATGTGATCTAATGATTGCGAACTTTGCTATGCATCAAGAGAACGAATTTAAAGATCTCTAGGTTAGTGTTTACGTGATTCATAGGTGGATTTTTATCCGAGAAAATATTAAAAGATCCTAGCTAGACTGTAGTGCAAACGGTAGCATAGATTTATTTATGGTAGAGAATTCAACTCCAGAATGCAGCCCAGATCCTACTCGAGGGTGCTAATCGCCCAGAATTAATACGGTCTGGGCTGGAGTTTAAAGTCAAATTTTACGCCGCGAACGTAACATATAAGCAGCCGCTTGAGCAATAGCTTTGCTCCGACTTCCCAACTAGTATCCACATAATACCTTCAATATGATTTGACAGAATAAGATTCAAGGTTCGAATGCAATAAGATATCCAAACGAATTTTTTGATGCAGCTATATCCTTTTTCCTTGTGAATAAAAGCTCAATGCTACGTAAGATATGTACCACATCTCTTTTGCGAGCAAGCTACATATTGATGGAAAACGAGGTGAAGCATTTTGAGAACGAGGACCTGTTATAGCATGAAGTACACACTGACACAACCTTGTTAGTGAATATGTGCTCATATGTACTTCCTACTGTGAAATAATTCATCAGCACAATCAATTGAAATGAGTATTGCAACATTGGGAAAAAAAGACTTACTGGGCGTCGTTACTTTGGTATCAGATTTCTCTCCGACTAGCTCGGAAAGATGGTCAGCTATTTGTCCATAGCTAACGGGATACTCGAACGGATCCGATTCAGAGAAACACCTGCAAGAGATACAGCCACATGTCGGTCCCAAAATCAGACACAAACCTGAATGTTTCCAATTTTTCGTTGTCAAAAATTACATCCTGCTGCGATTGCGATAGAGTCGAGACCAGCGCGGCATCGAATCGACACACAATGGGGACTCTCAGGAGCAGAACGATGCACAACAGTAGATCAGGTCGAAGGGTCTGAGGGTATAAGATGAATATTTTCAAAGAATAAGGACAAAATTCACTCACGGATTTGCTCAATAGAGTATCTACGGTCTTGTTGAATGCCAAAGTTAAGAGTTTGACAAGAGTATCGCGAGCTCGCAGTTCATCATGTGCGTTACCTACAATATAGGTATGCAAGTTAGATATCCAGATAAGCACATACAAATGCACTTTTGAAGAATACTATAGTCGTTCTTCAATGAGAAAGTTTCAATTACAATTTATTAGCGCAGCTGCGGTCTCAAGCTCTTCCCTTTCATAGGGTACAAAAGTTT